ACACAAATAAATGTTTCAAGTAATGTTGAAGCAGTAAAAAGCCTGGTAACTATTAATGAAGACCCTCAAGATTCTCTAAGTGCCGAATTATGGGAATCATTGTCAATATCTAATAATGATATTAATGAAGATGAATTTACACAATATATGAAAGAACTAAAGGCAAATAAACATTAAAATCCTCTAATGTGGTGGAAAGAAAGATATGTAAGTTTTCCACTCCTTGGTCAACTTGCCTGTAAATATTTATCTATTCTTGCCACATCAGTTCTATCAAAGTGCTTGTTTTCTGATGCGAACACTCATGTTTCTGCTAAAAGAACCCGTCTTGATCCTAATTTGGTAGACAAAATATTGTTTTTAAAAAGAAATGCTAATCACCACACCATGTTTCCACCTGATAATAAATAATTTCATTCTCATCTGTGTTTTTTTTAAAACATAAACTTCGCAAGTTCATATTCATAACCCTATTTTAAATAAAATTTTATTTTTAGCAATATATAATTTCACAATTCTCATTAATACATATACTATACATAGCCTGATAACAAATAATAAAAAATACTGCTTAAATAAACAATTCTAAGAATGGATAACGAAAGACCAACATTAATAGCTTTAATTATATCAATTTATTATAGTTCTATTAACTTACCATTATCAAACATTTTAAAGACAATAATATGATATCACAATGGTATAGTATTGGCCATATTCAACTTTATATAACTATCTTGATCATATAATAGTAAATTTACAGACCATAAGGTCATAGTCTCAATTATCCAATAGATCATAACGAGTTATAGGACAACACTGCAATAGTATACAACTATGAAGCATACAAACTTATTTAAAAGCGTAAATATAATTAATACATTATGAAAAAAATCAAACTACTATATACATTATCAGAAGTACTGTTATAGATAGACACTATAAATTATTACTTCCAACGGCCTTGCTGTCTTAAAATAGAGGGTTCGAGAGTTTAATTGTATGTATTTTTCTAAAGTATTTAGAAATCGGCTTAGAGCTAATAAATTAAATACGTACAAGTTTTATCTCTTTGGTAAGTAGTACCAATACGTAACCAACCAATTAGATAAGCAATATCCAGATCTTATTATTAGGATCCGGATCTTATGATTAGGATTCAGATCTTATCTTAGGATCCAGATCTTATTATTAGGATCTGGATCCTGTAATTAGAATCTGGATCTTATAATTATGATCTGGATCTTATGATTCAGATCCAGATCCAGATATTAACTCTAGATTGTGCAAGTGTTTTGAATTCGATTAGAGTTAAGTGAGCATCCTGTATATAATCTACAGATATATTCTGGTGGTGAATAAAGATTGGTATGTGAAAACAGGGAGAAATGTACCTAAAAATAGTAACACGTTATACAATTCATTAAAGTCGTAATTTATACATTTTAAAGTACTTTTTCACGAGACTTGTGTAGCCCATTCTTTTTATGAAAGGTAGGCTGTAATTCTATGAAAATTTG